CGAGAGTGAATGTATGTATAATTGGCAAGTAAAATCCAATAATGAAATTATATATTACATAGACACTTAACTAATTATATTCCTCTTATATTGACTCAGTTAAGCCTAAAATGGTTTTTTTTTTCTGCTTGGGAATTCCTAAAAACTTTCAGGAACATGATATTTTGACATTTAGTTTGTTACATGTAAACAATCAGGGCCTCATACATACACTGCACACATGTACAGCTGGTTCAACAAAGGTTGCTTTGGGCATTGGGGATTGAGCAATAGTAAGCTATTGTTTGGTGGTCACTCAGGGAAATCATTGCATTGTTTGGTATGCCCAATAGCCAACCTTTACTTAATCAGCTATATACAGTGTAGCTTCTGGGGAAGTGACAACCACAAGCTGTAAATGACATCCAGTATTTTCATTGATTACATTTTAAAACAAAATCTTCTAATAATCTCTTGTCCATACAAAAAACATATGCAGTGACTTTGTTAACCTCTGCATCTTGTATCCCTGATGCATAAAAATCCCCAAAGATGCAAAATAATAATATTCATAGCATACATTCCAATGGACGCAAAAATACATAAAAAATTTGAACATGTGTATTTGTAGAAATATCCTGTTTGTGTATTCTGTGGCAGTTATTATGGCTGTTGTTGAAGGATGTATATTTCCTTTAGAAGGACTGTATTTTAATTTTAGTGTATAGTACAACAGTTTATTTTCTACTACTGTAGACAACTAGAAGAATTTACAAGAAAATAATTATAAATAAATAAATAAACAAACAGCACATACAGTACTGGGACACCCAAAATAACTAGCTAGTTAGATCACAGTTACTAATTTTATCTTTGTTTCAGAAAGGCCAATAACATCGAATTAATGCTGTATATCTGATAGCAGCATTGCCAAACTACCATGGTTAACAGAAAGGCTTTAATTCTTATGTTGAAATGAATTGTAGAAAAGAAAGGTATAGATTTGCTCTGAGAAGGCATTGATTTGCTCTGATTTGTTCTTTGTACTGCAGTAATACAGAGTTTTGGAGTCTGTCAAGCTTGTATGCCAGATTAACTGTCTGGTTACACAAAGGCCCAAAACTTAGCATTTTCAATTACAGACTTGTATATTTTGTTTTAACTGGGAATCAATGTTTCTGGACTGGGACTCAATATTTTTCACAAGATGAGTCCCAGGACTCACCATAACTATTTGTAACCAACATCACTGAATATGTATTCACGTCTTCAACTTTTCCATTGAAAAGCAATACCACCCAAGCATTTTGTTGCACCATTCTTTTTTTTAATGGTCCCCTCAGTGTCTGCATTAACAGAGTTTCACGGTTTGATTAAAAGTAACATATGTCAAACAGTCATACAGACTTCTTGTGAAAGTTGGACAGTATCATGGAAACTAACAACAAAAACAGACTGTGATGTACAAGAACTCAGATGCTGTCAATACAGTGTAGATTGTATATTTTAATGTACCCTAACCCTCATTCCTGAATTAATGGTGGGGCAATTCCCATGCAAAAAAATGTGTGATCACACGTGTGAACACACTTTGAAAGTGTCATAGAAGTGTGATTCATGGAATCACACTTTTTATCACACTTCACTGGTGTGATTTCGTAGAATTCATGCTTGAGAAGTATCATTCATCTAGAAAGAAGTGTGATAAAGAGGTGTGATACAGAAATGTGATTTCATAGGCATTGGTGAAACGAAATCACACTTTCATGCAAATTCCCCTGGAATTCCCCATGAAACTAACGATAACAGTTTAAATGAAAAATTAAATTGGTGTTATGAACTTTTGGATGGGTGCATTTCAGTACTTAACTGCTCATTTTCATTTTTAGGATAATCGTCTCATTATTGCATGTACAACAGTCAAAGAAAAGATTTGTCCAAAGCTGATCAAAATATATTTAAGTGGATTCAGTAATTGTACAGTGGGATTAAAACATTAATTTTAATGGTTGCATGAATGTGCATATGTTTTTAGTATCCAAGTTAAAAAAAAGGAGTGCAAACATCAGGCTTCAAACACGGTACTTTAATGTTTTTTTCCTAAATGATGCACTTCTTGTGAACTGAGCACAATTATAATTACAATACAAGTCATGTACACCTAATTAATTACTGTAAGAACATCATCATACAAACAGGAATTAATGAGTCGGTAATTAAAGATCTTCACAGAGAATATTACAGGTAAAAGATCTTTAAAAAATAAATAAACAAATTAATAAATAATTACTTATTCCTTTGATTAAAGGGTTAATTTAACCAACGTAGTCCGACTGTTCCTCATTTTATACCTAGTCCGTGTTTCCCAGTCCGCACTCCGTGGTCCGCAGTCCATGTGTTATGCCAGAAGCATATAACCCCGAAGCGTATAACTCTGTCGCAAAGCTCGGGTTTTTTAGGGAACAAATCAAAATTTTACTTCCTAATACGGAATTACTGATAAGAGAGATTGTCGCGCGAGACTTGTATCGCGATGTAAATGATGCGGTGCAAAAAGCATTTACTGTTTTAATATGAGGTAATATTCTACGAAAAACGGAATACAGGATTAATCCCCAAATGACTTCAAATGACCAGGACTGAGTTAGTTCCTCCTAGTAGCAAGACAAAGTCGACTACAAATGAATGCACCGTAAGAGAAACGGTTTTTGCGTTACCATTAGCGCAAACAACCTTTCAAAAATCACTTACTATCTATCTAGAATAACTAGTAATGCATATTGTCGAATAAAATTCAGTAGTTGCTGAACTCAAAGTAAAAATTGCATAAAATTCGCTGACATCTTCGCAGAAGTGATGCGTGCAATAAGACTTAGATGCCGGCGATCATGTTTTCAACCAATGCTATGGATGAACAAACAGAAAACAATAAACAGACAAATTGTTTCTTGAAAATTTTTATTCGAAAACCGATAAGTTTACTATTAAAAGCAATTCACGTAACACTGACTGGATCATGGATCTGTTCCCACAAGTAAAATCGGTTGAGCACATGGCAAAAATTAACACTTAAATTTAATATCTGTCTCAGATCGGGCGCATTTCCCAGTTTATCTTGAAAACTCTATCAAAAATTTATAAAACGTCTATGAAACATTTACAAATACATAAATTTCCTATCCATAACGTACTTTCCTTGAGCATAATGTGTAAAATGTAAGTTCTTGACTTCCCCGCACCCAAAAACTGACAACCAGAAATGCGGTGCGGGATAAGCAGACAATTCTTAGCCCATTTATTGAACTAACCAACTAATCACAAAACAAAAACAACTGTTTACACAGTTTAGACACCAAAAAATCAAACAAACTGTATACGTTTGATCCGGCCAAAGTAAATGAATAAACAAAACCACTTATAATAACTGTCAATCATCAGGAAAACACAACTAAAATCGCTACGAGGAAATGGATTACAGGATTTCAATCAAAATATAAAAGAGAACAAAATTTAACTGTCCGCTTGTAAAAATCCACAATGAAACTTGTTTACTGTTCAGCGAATATATACATTTAGTATATACACACTCAGTGATCTTGGTAATTCAAGCAATCTGATTGGTTAGCTATCTCGGACTATGACGTTATATTCACCGCGCTAGGCGGTGAATATAAAGCCGAGCAAAATCGCTGTCGTGAACTGGGTGTTTTGCCAAAGTTTCAAAGTAAAACCTGTTTGAAAATACACGAATATCCAAGTGCTGATGACTTTGAAGGCAAGAAAAGACTTCATGGTGTTTAAACAGCGTGATTTATTGTGAAGTGGTTTACTTTAGCTGACTTTTTGTACGCTCGAAGCTATGTTTACCACTACAGAGGAAAACGAGGTCGCTTTGTCACTGTTTTGTGATTTCGGGATTTTCTCGCAAGACCAATTTTGCCTATAAATAGAGGTTAATTTATGGAGAAGAGAGGAAGGCAAATATTTTCGAAAATTGTACGTGCCAGCAAGTTAACAAGGCAAAGAACTTTGGAGATAAACAACGCTTACCTTGATCGCAGCCGCTGTTGACAGCATTTGCAAGAAGCGACGAAGAAAACTTTCTCATTCACGGTGAGTTGACAGAAACAAATAAAGCTCTAGATACTTTTCTTCTCAGAATTGGGTAGTAATTTAAATTTTCGGCGTTTTCTTTTAAACCGTTGATGCTAAAGCTTACAAAACTCGATACAAAAGGATTAAAACTATCATTTGCCATGTTTGAAGATACTGTAAAGATCTAACTTTTGCGCATCCACTGTTTACGGCTTCGTGTTCACGCATGAATTTTCACCCGTCAATCAAACTAATGGTTTTTTAATGGTTTCCTTTCTGATTCTGTTGAGATCACTTCGTGTGAATATACTAAAACAATTATTCACCTCAGGCTCAGTTAATATTGTTGAATAATCCCCTCGACTTCGTCTCGGGGATTATTCAACAATATTAACTTCGCCTTCGGCGAATAATTGTTAAGTATACATAATATATACTTGCTACTTTACATATCACACTTTCTTCTCATAATCTCATGCCGGCACTTAAAACACACTGCCGACAAAAGCACCTGTGCTTGGGAATAAAAGAAATCATTTACCTTTTGTTTCATTACGCTTCGCTGCATTCAGGCAAAGATAAATGAACAATTCTTGAATTCCCCGCTCCCAAAAAACTGACAACCAGAAATACGGTGCGGGATAATCAGACAGTTCACAATCAGTGGCAAAAGCATATATATAAGAAAACAAGATAAGGCACTGTTCATTAAGCAAACGTATTTACTGTATAATAAATAGCTAATCGCTAGGATACCATTAAGGGTACTGTCCAAAACTTGTTAAGCATATCCACCCGCGGCAAGGATACTGTGTCGTCAAGCAACGTTAAGCCATCAGAATTAATTGTGCAAATGTAAATCTCTCCATAGTGCTGCAAACAACACAACTCGCGCAATGTTTATCAAGCAAATCACATACTGAAAATTAAAGAGCCAAATTTCTAGATACCACAAGGGTATTTTCCAAAGATTCATCGACATAACCATCTGCGGCTTGGATACTGCGCCAACCACCATGTCTACGCCATACTCTCCCAGAAACTCCGCTGCGTGCTGCTTGGGAAGCACCACCTGAACGAAGGCTATGTAAACCAAATTCGTTTGAGTCTAAACTAAGTTCGGAAATCATTCGGCGAAACTGTTCCCGTGCCCGAGAATATGACAGAGGAGCTTGTCGCAGCTTGTACCCGGTACCCAATTTCTGGCAGAGACAAAATAATGACTGAGATGGTTCATATTCTCCGCGCTCAAGGAATAACTCTAACAGTTTCACTGGACAAGAGCTAGAAGGTAAACGAGCAACTTTGACCACATATCCCTGTCGGAATTGATCGTTCTTACATCTGTCTAGGAAAACAGACATGTGGGTGGCGCAAAACTTTAAGTCACAGGCACGTAAGTCACGCAGCTCTGACCAACGTAGGAAGGCACAAAAACCAAGCGCAACCAGCGACACCATTTGTAAGTTCGGTAGAGAAGCACGAGGGTGACCATAGGAACGAATCAGCGCCCTTACGTGATGAGATTCAATAGGCTGCTTTTTCTTAGATGGGCCAGCCAGGAGGCGTTTAAAACCAGCCAAGGTCTGAGAAACGAGCGGATCGTCGACAGGATTAGGACATCCAAGTTTCTTATGTAGCCATGCAATGCCATAGGCTGCTCCAAGGATTGACGAGCGAGATAAGCCACGGTCTGAAAGACTTGTTAAGTAGAGAGCAACTGCGGTTGGGTTAGACTGTAAAGGAGGAAACGAGTAACACTTGCACCAGTCAATCCACCGATTGGCTGCCCCTGCATACGAAGACACGGTTGAAGCGGCACAGTCATTAAGTATGACAGTCTTTAACAGTTCTACAAGCCTCTGAATCTCCGCGTTGCTCCGTTGGTAAGGCGACAAGCCTAAAGTGAAAATCAACAATGTCCAAAACATGGCACTTTTAAGACAGGAACAGCATCCAATTGCTACAGAACACTAAACGCGCAAGATACACATCGTCTGCAACGAAAACTGCCCACATGGCAAGTGAACACAGCACCAGTACACACTCCAACACATGGAGGCTTGGCCCACTCGGCGTCAGCTGGTAAGAAAATCCACACAAAGGATAGAGGAGTCCACTTGACTCTAAAATGAACACACTACTGTGTCGGCACTGCCCTCTCGGCTTGCTTCAGCTGCACAACTCGTGCGCACTAGTACAGTTCCATGTCATTCAGACAAAACAACAACAAATAATTAGGCTGAACAACTCGTTCAAGGTACTCATCTAATACCCGAAAACGTTCTACAGCAAAACTAAGGAAATACAATTCTCAAAGCAAATACCCTACACGAGGGAATACCATGCCCGAAAAAATCGGCGGCTGCGGAACCAGGAAAAAAGTAGACTCATGTAACGGAATCTCCCGCCAGTCAAGAACAAAAGGGTGGAAAACCCCGGGGCTTCGAAACACCAACCGCTACCAATGAGCAGATTGCCAAAAGGGGATAATGAGAGTGCCCTGCTCTCTACCCAGTTTCATGTGATTGATAATCCTGGGAATAAGGAACACTGGGGGGACCAACCAATTGTTTTCCCCTCCCCAGCTGACGGTAAAAGCATCAACAGTTTCGGTCCCAGGACACCACCATCGAGAACAAAACCTGGACAACTGGAAAGAATTATGACTCGCAAAACGATCTACGGTGTGGGGTCCCCACAGAATATCCAACTGGCGAAAATGGACAGTGTTGCGCATCCAGTCATCGGTGTCGACAACTTTCGACCAATAATCAGCTTTGAAATTAAAGTGGCGAGGTATCCACTCCGCAGAAAAGCGAATACCTGCTTCATGGCACAAGTTGTAAATGGCAACCGCTTCTTTTTGCAAATGAGGCTTACTACTGCCGACGGACAAAACACTGCAGACGCTCTGATTGTCAGATCTATGCTTGCATCCTTACCCGCCAAAAGACCGGAAAACGACTGAAGAACAAATCTAACGGCACGAATCTCGCGGAAAGAAGAGCTGCACAGGGCCTCGGAACCCAACCAGTTCCCTCTAGCGATGTGGGTACCAAATTGAACAATAAGTCCCGTCCAACCCACATTGCTAGCATCAGAATAAGACAAAAGCTCTATCTTCGGGGAGGGCCTCCAGATTGGTTTGCCGCACAAACGAAAGAAATTATCTCTCCAAAAATTAAGTTCCTCTACAGCTTCACGCGTTAAAGCTACCTTGCAACTAAGGCTATGAACGCTATTAAGGACTGCGTTCAAGGCTCGGGTGCGCAAACGCACAACTGGACCTAATGCGAGCTCCATGGAAATAAGGGTACCCGTAATACGAGACACATCCCTAGCCGTGGGTGAAACATCGTCAAGAAGCAGTGAAATCAGATTAAACAAGTGATCAATCTTGCCTGGTGGGATACTAAATTCTCCTTTGGTAAGGTCCAAAATAAAGCCTAAGTGCTCCCCTTTTTGACGCGGTTCAAAATTGCTCTTTTCCTCATTCACTAGCAGGCCAAGGCGATCAAGATCGCCTCGCACTAGTTGCGCTTCCTGAGAACACGAATCTTTACTTGAATCGGCGCCGATACCGTCGTCCAAATAGACAGAAATCCTAAGGCCTTGCGACCGCCAGTGTGCAACATCGGTCTTAACAATTTGGTGAAAACGTAAGGAGCCGTACTTAAACCAAAGGAACCGAACAAAACAAAAAATAGCGCGGCTTACCATCGAAAGTAAACAAAAAAGCCTAATACTTCCAATGCTCTTGAAAAATGTCAACATGATGGTAGCCATTACGAAGATCGAAAGTCAAAAACCAATCATCAGGCTGAAGAAGTTCCGCCACGACTCGAAGGTCTTCGAACTTAAACTTACGCTTGGCTAGGTGCTTGTTAAGAAAGCGAGGGTCAAGAATCAATCGAAGTTTGCCATTCTTTTTAGGAACCACACCTAAGGGACTGCAAACATGAACTTGGTCACGCTTGACTTCCACCGCGCTACCCGCCAACAACAATTGCTCGATAGCCTCACAAACAAAAGCTCTATTATCAACAGCGCTTTTATGGTTACTAAAGAAAAACTTCACTGGAATTGAAACAAATGGTAACTTATAACCGCTTTCAATAACACTAAGAACAAAAGAAGAGGCCCTAATAGACCGCCAAACATACAAAAACTTGCGCAAGAGTCCTCTAATCCAAAATACTGAGGAAACGCCCGTGTCAAGTTCAGCCTCGCCGCGTTCCGAAAACTCGTCAAAAACAGAGTCGGCTAGTCATTTAGCGGAAGAGGAAACTTTACAATTTTTGATGAAATGGCCTGCTTTGCCGCAACCAAAGCAGCGATAAACAGAAGATTTTTTCTCCGGTACAGGATGAACCAAAAGTTGACCGACATCCGGGCGAAAATCCACGATTCTATGTGACGGGCCAAAATTTACACTGGGGCTGCTTTTGGAAGATGTAGACTGAGACTTAAAACGAGTTCCCATTTTGCTTCTCAGGCTATTTTTTCGATTTCGCTTCTCGCGAGACCTCTCTGCTTCCTTGCGCGCGACACGAAGTTTCTTTTGTTCTTCGTCATTTTTAGTGAGTGGGTCCGCCTCAAAATATTCTAACACGTCCCAGCCATTCCGGTCAGCAATAGAAATAAGCCTATTTCTGTTATCAAGGAGTGACATACCTTCGTTGGCAATCTTAATGATCGCGTCATCCGCCCCAGCCCTCTCTAAAATCTGGTTGAACTTATCCTTGACGTCAGTGTTGAACTTGAACTGTTTCTTGTTACTCTTATATTTGAACTCGGGCTCCTCCTCCGCAGACTTGCGTTTTAGTGAGTCGAGCTGTTCCTTGACAACCTTAACCTCCTCCGTTTTCGCCTCCAGGGCCTTTAAGATTTCCTTCGCCCAAGCTGGGGGCTCAGGGCTGCGAGAAGCGGAACGACTTCTACGGTGCGAACACTCGCGGACACTCCTTCGCGAAGGCGAAGAACTACGGCCAGAACCGCTTGAAGCTGCAACATGTGAACGAGAACTACGAGGGCCTGAACTTCGACGTTCTCTTGTTCTGGACGGCCGGACAACAGGGTCTTCAATGTCCGCGTTGACTCTCGAAGCACGAGAACGAAATGAAGCAGGGCGACCACGACGGTCCCGCGCCATGTGGACGAGGTAGGAAGAACGAGCTAAGAATTTAACTGCCCGCTTGTAAAAATCCACAATGAAACTTGTTTACTGTTCAGCGAATATATACTTGCTACTTTACATATCACACTTTCTTCTCATAATCTCATGCGGGCACTTAAAACACACTGCCGACAAAAGCACCTGTGCTTGGGAATTCAAGAAATCATTTATCTTTTGTTTCATTACGCTTCGCTGCATTCAGGCAAAGATAAATGAACAATTACCTGACTTTGTCGCAGTTCAAAAAAGGACAAGCGATCCGATCCGCCGTGAAAGAAACAAGGTCGAAGTCCTCGAAGGTAAATTTCGCAGCTTACAACTTTTCTTTGTCCTCAATAAGAAATCAAACTTTCTCATGCCCCACGTATAATCAAAACCACCATACATGTGTTCGCATACTGTTTTTGGTGAATTAAAAAATCTACACTCACAAAAGATTCCGTTCCGACTTCGTCGGCGCCTTGAACAACGCTTCTGCAAAGCTTGCCATATCATTTTGTTTGCTGTCGCCATACTGGTTTTGATGAATGAGAACAGAAGCTGCAGATAACTCGTTTGCCGTGGTAGAAAGGTTTGCAGCTAGTAGCCTCAGGATGATCTTTGTCGGTCAAACAGCTGCAGGCTGCAGATACATTTTGCTATTTTCGGTGAGAGGCTTTGCGATGTTGTGAAGAAACGTAAACATCCTTGTCTTACTTCGTCGCTGGTCGATGTTTTCAAGCCATAGAGCGTACTGTAACTTTGTGACTCTTTATGTTTTGCCAGGGATGCATTTTATAGCAGCATATTTACTTTATCTTTTACGCCACGAGAAGATTTCTTTCGGCCGTAGAAATTACGTGTATAAGCGTTGCAAGCTCAAAGTTTTTAGCCTTGAATTCTCTGATTCCATATTATTTTGGGCAAAATAATTTTCCGTGCTTCTCATTGGACGGCTGCGCCGGCTAAAAAACCCGAGCTTGGTTCTTAACACATAAGGGGAAGTTAGCCTCTTCGGGGTTACATGCTTCTGGTTATGCTGACCGTATAATAATGTAGTGGTATCCACTCAAGGCTCTTTTGGTTGTTTACATGATTGTATGTACATTCTTTGACCCGTAGAAGCAAATCTGAGGATAAGGAGACCTGTAAAAAATACAGATTGTAAAACTTAATGACCGGCCGCCTGTCATTATTAAAGACACTGTACTTTAATACAGTGTAATCACGAAGAGCTATTAAACTTGCATGCATTTGTGCATGCATTGAAGTTTAAATCAAAAAGAGTAAGAAAAATTGTGAAGTATAATTAAAATGATCAAAAAGATAGCCGTACGTACTCACCTCAACATACTTTTTTTCTTCCATTCGGCATTGAGCTTCTGCTTCTGTATAACGACAGGTAAAACAGTGGGTAAAAATATCGATAAACGAGACTGACTTCGACCTTCACTTGTGAACTCAAGGCGATGTACGAAGCTCAAGCAGTTTTCTTTTACTCAGGACCTCAGTTCAGAACTCATGCCTTTTCCCTCACATATTGTTCATTAACGTAACCAGTGAAAAAAATTCAGCATATGCACATTAAGATCTGAAAGATCTAGATCGACCCGAACGTTGAGAAACCAAGATGGCCGCACTCGGACGGGACGATGAAAGACTGGATCCTAGCACCCGTGTTTTGACGGTTTTGGCGCGAATTTCTGAACGCGGCTGCCAAACTCTCTTCATTCGTTCAATCGCAGCAAAGATAGAGATGAAGTGTATAAGCTGAACAGAGAACAAGAACAAGACTTTTATTTTTCCCTACATCGATCATTAATCCTTTTTTTGATGAAGATTTCATTTTGATAATCAGAGACCAGCTGAAAAGGTAAGTGCTGTCCTTCCTTTCGATAAATGGGTTCTCTTTATATTTTTTCACTCTTTCGTAGAAAGATGTCAATGCCTGTGAAGTTTAGAAAGGAACTACATTTTACAGTTTCTTCTCCCGATCTGCTTCTTTTTCTTTTTTTTTTTACTAAATAGTTCGTGCATTCATTTGAAGTTGAGCTATTAAGCTGCATTGTTTTACTGGCAAAAACGAAGCAGCAAAGTTCTTGTAATGAACAATTTCAGTGTAAGGTCCATAATACAGGATTGAAAGAAAATTCCTTTTTTGTATTTACTGTCCTTCATGTTGTTTAGTGTTTTCATAGCTCGATCTCGGAGCGAGTATTAAGGGCATAATATTGAATAATCACAAATTTGGACTAAAATAATGGTGGATTAAAATTTAAGCAGAATTAATTTTCGAGGAACTGAGCACAGAATTTTAACTCTTTTGGCACAATTATAGGCTGTTGAGACTCTGTTGATGGAGTACTTGTGACCCAACAAATCTACGTTTTTTCACCTCATGTATTGGAATCCAGGAGGGTCTTGGATTCTGGATTCCAGAGCAGTGGATTCCGTATTCCAGGTACTGGATTCCAGTCTTTGTCAGTGGAACTTGGATACTGGATTCTAATTGTTAGTGGGATTCAGGATTCCTTGAGCTGTATTTTTTGGGATCCTAAGGCCAACGATTCCGGATTCCACAAGCAAAATGTTCCTGGATTCCGGATTCAACAAGCAAAGAGATTCCCTTACATGGGGCGAATTTTTAATAACCCAGTGATTTAATAAACCAATTCATTGTTTTGGATGCACGCCCTCATGGTATTAAAACTTACTCCTTAAACACCTTTCCATCTAATAGTAACAGTACAGTATTTGTTACAGTTCAGGACTTTTCTTTTCTTTTTTAGATTGTAACAAGCACCTCTGATGTGTTCTTCATTTCAGATTTTGATTTCAAGTTTTTGCAAAACTATAATCAGCTACTTTTTCAGTCTGTCAAACACCTGACTATGAAAACTACTTAACTAATGAAGTTAAATACTTTTTTCATTAACATTTATAAATACTCCTGTGAAAAATGCCTGCATGTGCCTTGATGGCCAAGCTGAATCAAGGACTCAGTATATAGCATGCAAGCAATGCCAGTTCATCTGACAACACGTTTGTGGTTATTTGAAGTCGCTGACTACTGATGTGAGTATCTCTAAATGTTTTAAGTTAAGAGGACCATCATCAACCAGGATGCAATTTATTTTGTCTAGTTTCATATGAGAGCTGAAGGTGTTTATTGTTTCATTTAATCATGCCTTTCAACTGAATATTCCCTTAGCGATTATTTTTAAACTTGCATATGTGGTAAAAGAATCTTGAACAAAATATGTTTTGTACTTTCTTACCCACAGGACACCTATCCTTCTCCCCTCACTCAGATTAATGAATCAATGCTGCTCACTTGCACGCGCATGGGCAGAAATCAGGCTTCACATCGTAATTTTTTGTTGTGGGCGGGGGGCATCATATGGCAACATGCATGTAGCTGCCAGACAAACTTCCATTTCACAGGGTTTTTCACGGGTTTTGACCCGGTGAAAAATGCCCTGTTCACAGGTTTTTAGATTTTCTACCCGGCGACCAGAAACATTGTATGCACTGAAGATTGTTGTAATGTAAATAAGTAACAGTGCACATGCAAAGGACAGGACTTTGTTGTCATAAAAACTATAGTTAATTAGTGCATCACACTTATTCCCACCCTAGCTGTGTAGATATTACAAGTACTGCAAGTAAGTAAGTACTACAGTGGTTTTATTTTAATAACAAGAACTTTTAACTAACCTTAATGATTAAGTTAATAGTTGAATACATCGATCTGTACTCTTGAGGTGCAGGTTGTACACCAGGGAAATTAAATGATATAAATGCTTTAAAACAGTTTCTGAGATAATTTTAATTCAACTTCCCATTTCATTTCAGGCTGTATATTTGCACAGTTCCCCCTACAAAAATAGGAAACACTGGATCGAGAGTGAGGAAAACAAGTAAAAAAAGTAGTTACAGCAAGTGCCATGGCTTTAGGCATGGAAGATACCGGACTTCCAAAGCAAAACAAATGGACTTGCAAAAAAAAACTCTCATTGCCGCGAATTACGTCTGCAAGTAAAATAGATAATGATGTTGTTTCGTTGCTATGACGACTCCAGTGTCAACAAAACACTGTCCATGACAAATTTTTATTGTTGTCTGATAAACCAAGAACTGTATTAGAAATCGTTTTTCTATATCTTTGTTAGTTAATACTCAAAGTTGGGAGCCATGAAAAATCCAATTGCACAACCCTAAGCAAGTCAGAATTAATAAGCATAGATTACTTTAAGAAAAAACAAGAGCGGCGCGTTTAAAATATTTCTCAATAGAAATTTCATTTTCTTACCATCATTTAAGGCCAGATAGAGCAAGGGAGAAAATTATTTTCCTTTTCTTATAAATGATTGTTAAAATCTGGGATTTGTGAATGTAGGATGGTACAATGTTAGCCCCTGTTATTTTGCGTTTTACTATGATTGAATTATTGAGTGATTTTATTGTTGTTGTTCTTGATTGTGTTGTAGTTATTATTGTTGTTGTTGTTTCTTTTTTCGAGTTAAATAGAACATCTTTTCTTTGACTTCTTTTAAAAACAATAATTTTGCGATGGTCAACGCAAATTTAATAGGATCTTTAGGAACTGGGTTCACATGTTAATAACTTATTATTTCAATTATTTAGCTTCACCTGTCCAGCAGTATGGAAATGATGAATTACTTACATTTGATTGTTTCTAACTGTAAATATTGTACACATCTGATGTTAGCTGTTTTTTGTTTTTCATATAAATAATAGTTTTCCTTAATTTACACTCGACCCCACAGGCTTGTTTTTATCAGGCTATCTTTTATCATTAATGTCAAAGTAAAGGCCTTCTTCATCATCATGTTCTTCTTCCTCTGCCTTTTGTGTTGAAGTGAGATATGTGAATCAGTCTCGCAAATTAAATTGACTTGGTGTTAATCATTCATTATCTTTCTTTAAGCTCTTTTGGTACAACTGTGTTGATATGAAGAGTCATTTCACCCCAA